CTAGAAGCGTTGATCAAGCAGCATCAGACGCGCTTGGATTCTGCGACCCTTATAACCCCAAGGATCCGGTGTATCCTTAGGTGACAGAGTATGCGGACGTGGCGAACAAACACCCACCGACCCAATTCCCACCGAATCGAGGCGTACGGCATGAGATCTATCTCGTGCCTGGTACAAAGAACTGTGTCACGAGACAATGGCCTCTTCCACGCGAACGGTGCGAGGTCATCGACGCCTTCCTCGCTGCGAAAGCGAAGACAGACATGGTGCGGGAGTCAAAGCTACCACACTCGACGCCAGCTTTCTGCGTTCGGAAGCCGAACGGGAAGTGGCGTCTAGCTCACGCTTATAACAAGCTGAACAACACGACGGTGCCGGCCCAGACACCAATCCCTCGAAAGGATGTGTTGTTGAACAACATGGCCGGATGCGCTCTGTACAGTGCGTTGGATTTGGTAGACGAATACATCCAGGTCCTGATGCGCGAGAGCGACATCCCGCTCACCGGGGAGAGCACTTCAAGCGGCATACTTTGGGAGTGGATCGTCATGCCACAGGGCTTGTCTAACGGCCCGGCGACATTCAACTGCCTGGTGACGCAACTGGTCAGGCGATTGAGTGCCTTTGTACGAGCGTACTTCGACTACATCTTCGCTCATAGCCGTTCCGAGGGAGGCAAGATGGCCATAGAGGTACATTTGGGGCACCGTTGTCGGGTGTTGGACGTGATGCGAGCGAAAAAGCCCTACGCTTACATCAACAGTTGTGTCTTCGCGTCACCAAAGATCAAGGTTCTCGGTTGCTTCGTCCGCAACGTGGGCGTTCGGGCTGATCCAGACAAGGTCAAGTATATTGCAGCATGGCCGACGCCCTGATCTCAGGAGGATCTTCGAAAGTGGTTGGGCTTGGCGAACTACCTACACAAGTACAGCGTAGGGTACGCGGGCCTCGCTAAGTCCTTGACGGGCCTCCTTCAGAAGGACATCGACTGGCGCTGGGAGCGAGAGTACCAGAATGAATTTGACAACATCAAGGCCAGTCTTTAAGCGGCTCCTGGCCTGGCTCTGCCGGACGAGACAAAGCCGTTCAGCGTCGACTACAATGCCTCCGACTACGCAATCATTTGTGCATTGCTGCTGGCTGATGCAACTGGACATGAACGAGTCATCTCGTTCCAGACCAGGCAGTGCAAAGCCGCCGAGCGGAGCCAACCTGTCCACGACAAGGAGCTCCTGGCAATAAGGTATGCACTCGTATAGTTCCCCTTTGTAATCTACACAGACCACGCATCCTTGCGGACGGCGACGAATTCGCCTCACCTCTCTCAACGGATGGCGAGGTGGCTGTCCTTCTTCGCGGAGTACAACTTTTGCGTCGAGTACAAGTCGGGCAAGCTCAACGTGCTTGCGGACGCCCTCTATCGGCGTTTAGACTACGAGTTGGCCCACACCACACGGGTGACAGCGGATCTATATGATCGGATACGCGTGGCGTATCGGGACGATGAGGCTGTCGCGCCTATCGTCAAGTTCCAAGTAGGAGCGAATGCGAGGTCTGACTGGCTTACGCTGCGACGCATCCGGATCCACCAAAATGAGTTGAAGAAAGGCCTTCTCTATTACCGGGTGGAGCCTAATTTACCTTCAGAGGTTAGCGTACCCAACGACGAGGATCAGAAGCTCGTCATCCTCGCGGAGGCGCACGGTGCGCCCTCCAGCGGCTACTTGAGTCGCGAGAAGACCTTCATGTCGGTCTCTCAGGCCTTCTAGTGAACCCACATGTACAAGTGGGTTGCACGATACGTGAAGCCATGTCAAACATGACAGCGGGTCAAACCCGCAGGACTGTTAAAGAACCTGCCCGTTCCGGCTGGCAGCTAGAAGTCAATGAGTCTTGACTTCATTTTTGGGCTTCCTGCCGACGGACACGACAGCACCGGGATTTTGGTGTTCGTGTGTCGTCTGAGCAAGATGGTACATCTTCCACCAAGATGATGCATCTTGCTGCAGTACCCGTCACCGTCACAGGAGAACAGACCACGAGGTTGCTCGTCAATGGCGTGTTCCGCTATCACGGTCACTTGGAAATGATTGCATCGGACCAAGGCCCGCGGTTCACGGCTGCGTTCTGGAAAAGGCTGCTTCATTTACTCGGAACTCGTCTGCAGATGCTCACTATAGTCCATCCGCAGACAGACGGCCAGCCGGAGCGCGTCAATCGAGTGCTCGGGGACACTCTGCACAGTGTGTGCGCGGAAGGTGGTCGACGCAGCTTCCAGTAGCTGCGTTTGCGTTCAACAACGCGATGCATGCGTCCACGGGTTTCACGCTGCTCTACTTGAATGGTTTCCGTCACCCCAGAGTGCCTCTCACTCTTCGAGAATACGCGGCATCCTCTATCATAAGTGGGGGAGAGGCTCGGAAAGCACTTTCCTTCCATGTTTCAGATGTGATACCGGTTTCGCTGCAGAAACAAGTGGAAATCTTTGTGGGTACCAAGCTGAGTGTGATCAGCAGGGTCCGCGATGCCATGGCAGCGGCCCAGGACAGACAGAAGGAGTACTCTGACAGACACGGAAGAGGAAACTGAGCTGTGTTTAAGGTGGGTAAATTCGTGTTATTAGACACGGGGAACCTACCGCTAGACACCGCCAGCTCTGTCGGCAGCAGCAAGCTGAAGCACCGCTTCATTGAACCGTTCGCAGTCCTGGCTAGGCATGGTGCGTCATACACCATCGACCTGCCTAAGTCAATGACGATGCACCCGACGTTCTACATTGAACGTCTTAAGCGGAGCCATGATTCGCAGAGGGTTGTTGACTCGCAGACCCGGATTGAACGGATCCTGGTACACTGTCCGAAGGCTGTCGCAATCTGGGAACAGAAGCGGCGGCAGCTTCGTAAGTAGTCCGGGGCTTTTTGCCCAAACGGGTTATGGACGTTGACGACACTACGTACCCGCGCTCATCGTGAGCGCTAGAAGCCGCGCGCTCCAGAACGTTCCTTGGCAGCATGCGCTTGCTGACCAAGTGGGCGAACCGGACACGAAGATCACGCTGGTCCAGGATTCAAGACAGCAGCTCATCTTCATGGAGTTCCCGTAACTCCGAGGGTGAGTACTTGAAAGACTCAACCCACGCTCAGAACATGTCCTCACACGAGCTCCAGTTGAGATAGCTCTCAGGAAGAACCCAGGGGTACCCCCAAAGAGGGTAGATACTACCCCGGCTCTTAGGCTACTTACGACAAGTCGTGAAGTCTCTAAGAGGGGCTCGGTGTGGTGCGAGGAGCACGCACCGGACCGTTTCCAAGTTGTCGGCGAACAACTGCTCCTTCTAGACCAGGTCACGTTCGTAAATGCCCGTAGAAGTGTGGCCACCGACAAGCCCACGAGAAGTGACGATAATCTCCAGAATGAGATCAACTTAAAAGCTATCCTCGGGAGGCCAATAAACCTCTTGAGTTGATGGCAGCTCCCTGGTTGACAAGAGTCACCACCGGACTCCCACGCATGCGTGGGGTAGTTTAGAAGTCCTCCTGTTGCTGGTCGAGATTGTTCGTGATCTCCCGGGACTCATGGATGGCACCCTCCTCTTCATCCGAGGAGCCAAAGAGGTTCCAATAAGAGTAACCAGTCTCCTTCTCCTCACCGAATGGAGACTTCGAAGCCGTGCTCTTCTTAGAGAGATTGGCGTGTTCGGCTGTGGCCTTGGTAGCCCTAGTACGCGCAAGACCCTCGGCGAGCGAGAGATGTTTGGGAGATTTCTCCTTGTCGTCGTCGCCAGCTTTGGGAGGGCCCTTAGCCTTGATGGCAGGACTCACAGAGCGCACATACGTCCTGGGACTGCGAGCACCGTGATCACTAGCGAGTGAGCGCACGCTGTCGTCGACGTGCTCGCTGAGCACTGGAGTGTGCCCTCCCACGGAGCGCACGGGAGCATTGAGATTGCTCCCGGACTCGGCCTCGTCCTCACTACCCGAACCGAACTCATTGTTAAACGAACTGCGGCTCGGTCGGATGTCTGGAGATACCGAGCTGACGGACTGCGGCATTTGCTTGCGCACTTGCTTGCAGCCGCGTCACCAGATGAACCAATCGCCTCCGATGCCACCTTAGTAGCCTCCTGGAGTGCAGAGCTATTGCCGCGCGGATTAGTGCTCTTGGCTTGCATCTTGGAGTGTGCTTCCGCACCGCTCATTGCAGTGCCACGGGGCATGCTAAAGGCCGAGGTGGAGGCCAAAAAGAAGAGTGCTTACGCGCTGAGCGAGGCTCTAACTGTGAAGTAAGCCTCCCCCGCGTTCTCGCAGCCAAGTCGATGTCCTTCGACTTTGAGAATGAGAGTTTGTGACGTACACTTCCTCATTCTGATTTGTCCGTAAACCGAAACGAAATGTAACGGGGAACGTAGCCCAAGTGTACCCCTGGTTACATGAAGGAATGACACATCAACACTTCGGGATACCTGGCGAGTATTAGTTAAAAAAACGGAAATACTGGTCTCGTAAAGTAGTGTAGCGAAAATTATTTTTTAAAATCATTCTACTATTAATCCCTGATCATGAGACTATTATAATAATTCTTTAGAAAATATTAGCAAGATGAGGAGAAGCAAAACTATTGTCGTAGTACTATACTACTGGACTTATAATATTGTCAATCACCTAAAATTCTAACTATCTAAATTATCCGGGCCGAGGAAAATGCACCAAATGCAGACAGACAATCTCCAAAGGCTTGCCTAATAAAAGACAAATTGACCCCTCATTAGGGCAGCCGAAACGACTGGTGTACAAGCCTATAAAGCGGTCCTGTGCGACGAACCGTTCCAACGTGTGACCAATTTCACGGGCGAACTTCACGGTTACAGTATCATAGAAAATACACACGACAAAAAAAAGATTCTGAGTTGTAGCAAGATGGCTTGATTCTGCTGTCCAATCCTCAAATGCGTTGTTTATAAGCAGCTGGTAAATAGATAGTTGTAAGCTATAACTAGCCGCTCAGGGGCTGATGAAATAGCTGCTGTAGTAGTACAAGTTGTCTTTACTCGCTAAACTACTATCGTGGTACTAATTAAAACTTTTAATTAGAACCACGATACATGTAAGCTTAGTACCATTTGTCGTAAGTACATGTACCGTCAATCCCTGCCCATGAAATTAGAGAGCTTTAGCTTCTGGAATAGCTCAAGCTTTGGAATAAGAATTTTCTTCGTCTAGAAATAGAAATATATTCCAGTGGAATAGCGAGGGTCGCGTTATTCCACTGGAATCAATTTTTGGAAATATCAATCGGTAATCTATCCGTCATTTATTCAGATTTTATCCAAATAATCGCTATTCCAAGCCTTGCGTTATTCCAGAAACTTAAGCTCTCTATTGCTACTTCGGTTCCGTATTTTGCTCAAGCAGCCTGCGGTGCACGTTCGTCGCGGGCTTTTTTAATCCGGCTTGATCGAACTCCTGGACGCAAGCTCTCCGCATGCAAATTTTCAGTATACATGTGCAGGGAGTTGCGTGTATCCATGTCCAAGGAACGACAGCGAGTATCTTACAAGAAGAATCCTCATAATCTACTGTAGCGTGCTATTATTCATCTATCTGTACGAGTCGACCTCCCATCTTTCGCTGTTGCATTCGTTGTCTACATTCATCCCTGAGCGGAGTTTGCTAGCTTTGGTTCGGCAGAATGATCTGCCCGCACTAAATTCTTACTAGGATCCTGTGTATTCCCGTTACTCCGGTTGCTAGCGAGCACTTCGTCCTCGTCAGGATGACTCTTTCGACTTGTTTCAGGCTCCTGCTCTGGTGTGGGTTGAGGCTCGCCCATAGTAGGCAGTTGCGTTTGCCACCACTCTGCCGTCTCATCCAGAAGTGGGAAGAAATATGGTACATGGATCTTCTTGACGGGTACTTCAGCAGGTTTCTTCTTCTTCTTACGAAGAGGCAGCGACATGGAGGGCGATCCCTTTCGAGCCAAACGCGTCATCTTGGGCTGCTCCTTTGGTTTTCTGGACACACTTTGCCATGGCGATCGTAGTACACCGGCTAGGTTGGGTAGAAGGGAGTCGTGCTCGTCATGATCAGCCACGACATTGACACCGATCGGTCCAGACGTTTCGTCGTCGCTGCTGTCGGTTTCCGTGGAAGAGGGAGAACGCCAACGGGAGTGAGCGAATAACGCGATGATGACTGCGAATGCGATGCCGAGTGTAGCGGCGACAAGTTGCTCCATCGTTCTCTCCCGGATCGGGGGTGGCGTCACTGCCAGCGGGGGCTTCGCTACACCCTCTGCGCCTGACACTTTGAGCCACAACTTATGGCACAAGCGGTAGACATGGGTTTTGATTGGTAGAAAGAAGAGTTCGTTTGCTGAACCAGTTACTGTAGGAAAGAGCGCCCGCACTGCCGCAGTGACTGCGGGCGCCTCACGCCTTCCCATGCAGTGCATCATGCACTGCATGATGCAGCTCGCAGCAACCGACGGACGGACAAGGGTGTCGCGTCGACAGCACGAGCATCAGTGATGGCGAGTCCATGCTTACATCGCGAGGACAGGGGTCCTGTGGCTGAGCGGGCTTGAGCACGAACAGGATCGGTTGATCATGAACTTCATCATGAAGTTCATGAAGTTCATGGGAGTTGATACGCGCAGATCGCGGGATGGCTCCTGAATTCACCTTTTTATCGTCTTTGTTCCTTGACGCGGGGGTAATCCGCCGCAGGTTCCGCGCTCTCCAGTCTGGAGTCCGGTGCCAGACAGCGTTGATGTTTACCAGCGTACGTCAGTGCACCATTGCGCAAACTCGGTCAAAGCGGGGCCGGTGACCGGCAAGAGTCTTGCCGCATTCAAATCTTTCGATACCGGTACCGGTATCGTCTCTGATTGCAGAGTTCCAGACTGGAGCATTGCTCGAGGAGCATGATCCGATCGACGCAGATTACGAGCGCATTCCGCGGATTATGGCAGCGTCCAGCAATGTCGCTGAGCGTCGCAGATCCCGCACGAGGATCTCCAGCGACGCAAGATTCCAGGCTTCATGCTTTCACGTGTAGCGGTCAGCTTGAACTCCAGCACCGGTAAACTACTGCCTGCCTGCTTTAATAACTGTTAGGAGGAGGGATGTGCTGCCAGCAACCGTATTGTGTGAAGTAAATGCCTGTGGGAGCATGACTTGAGTCGGCGAGGTCAAATTGAGCTTGTATTATTAAGTGGTGGTACAGTAAGGTGTTGGCATTCATTCTGCTTATTACTACATGTACTTGTACTTGTACTTGCACAGCACTTCTCTTTTTATAGTAGATGAGCTCTACATACATAATTTCTATTGGGGGGCGAGCCTAGAGCTCGAGGTCGAACATGAGATCGCTGAGAGCTGAGGCTTCTGTAGCCTCAGCGACGGTTTCAGCGACGGCGACGACCGGGAGGGAGGCTGACCGGCGCTCCACGCCGTGGTGATTGCAGCACGGGCACTGGTCGCTGTCGTCTTCCTCCTCGTCTTCGTCCCAGAGCCACCTCTTGGTGGATGTGGCGACGTACTTGCGCGTCTGTGTGGGGATCAGCACGGGCGTGGTGCGCGTGATAGCGGGGCAAACCTGCTTACGTTGCTCGTTCTGCAGGCGGATGAAGCTGGCCATGAGTTGCTGGTCTTCCCGGCTGAGAGTGTCGCTGCCGCGCTCCGAGTCAGAGTCGGTTTCCTCGCCCGATAGGTACAACGGGTCTTCGTCGTCGAAAGCGGGAGCTCCCGGCTTGGTCACGCTGGGAAGTGCCTGGATGGGAGCCCACGTGGGCAAGCTCTGGGTGTGAGCGGGTGCCATGCTTGGCTTGGATCGCTGGGTGCTAATTAATGAAACGCGGGGCGTGAACTTGCCGTAGCTTTGACAATTGCAGACTGAGGCGCTCCAAAGTGCAATTGCTGTAGGAGAGTGTGGGTCGGTTGCTGTCGCGAGGTGACAGCACCAGGGCAAAAGCCCAGCTGTCGGTCGATAGATGCACGCGCCTTGAACCGGCACAGCAATTGGCCGAAAGATCGTGGCAACCACTGTCTCCGGTGTATGGTTGGCTGAAAATGAGAATCTCGGCGTGATTGGCCGAATCCGAGAATGGTGACGAGGGCGTTGGTCTCGGTAAAAAGAATCCTCGAGGCCCAACGGCGTGGCAAGCACGGGCCGCCTCACGAGCATAAGCTGTTGGGGCTCGGTGTCGGGGCCGATGATGGCCGGCCAAGCGTGCAGGCGATTGCGCCCCCAAAATGCCAGCAATGCCTTTGTCAAACGAATCTCTTTCCAGAACGCGAGATTCAACGGCGATGTACTACAGCAGGGAACACAGCACCTGTATCGCCTTTCGCAGGCGAAAACTGCATTATACTGCAGTGCATTACAGGTAACTGCACCATGAAAATGTGCCGCTCCGACGACGATGCTCTTTAGTTATCGTCGGATAAGATGATTGCATGTGGATCCCTTGTACCGGTACCGGTATCGCATGCTCGGTGGCGGCGGGCAACTTGCTGGAGCATCGTCGACTCGCAGCGCGTGCCTGCTGTCATCCTGCAAAGTGCGATGATGGCGCAGCGCCACTACAACGAGACAAAGATAAGATCAACGTCGGCAAGTCGACGTTTGGAAAATAATGTTCGTTGGTGGATAAATTACATGTTCGCATTTATGTTGTGTGCGGGCCAATAAATAGACAGTTCCTAATGCACGAAGCTTACAATTCCATGGCGAAGATGTCGTCGTCGTCGCGGTCGTCCACGCCAGTCGGGGAGGCCGGTACTACAACAGTTGTGAGCGACTTGGACGAGTGCGCGCTATACTTGACCACGCGGGTTTGTGAGGCACCGTACTGGGATCGGAAGAAGGCCAAGTTGCCGTAGAAGGCAGGATCGTCCTCGTCCAGCTCGTCCTGATTGTCCTCGTCCTCGTGCAGGTAACGACCGGCGCGAAGCAGACGCATGTCAGCGTGGTAGGACAAGTCTGGGCTCTCAACAACGCTTTTGCACAGGTGCGGGTGGCGCTCCCGGCGGCCGTTGGACGGAATGCTGATGGGCGCCGTACGCACCCAAACGCGCTGAGCGTCTTTGGTTACGAATTTGCGCTTGGACTTGAGATTGCACTGGCAGTCGTTGCAGCTGGAGCTGTCTGATTCGCTGTCTGATATGTCGGTCTCGGCGTACGAGGACGGAGGGCTATGTTGTAATGCGGTCATCCACTCGGAGAAGTTTTGCATGATCCAGTTTTGTATTGCTGCCGCCCTGTGTTCTTGGCAAATACACTTGTTTGGTAGATGGCAGATTCGATTGTGAGCGTCTACAGCAAAAGTGTTGAGCGCCGAAGGCGGCCATCATTGCGCCCGTCTCTCCACCTGGTGCTTGTGGTGAAAGCTCGGCCAGCAGTATTTTCAGCAGCAAGGCACGCGCACGTGTCGCGATTGGTCAAAATTAAAGCCAATAGAATGCACGGAAAGCGTCGAAGGGATACCACTTGAAGACGTGGCAACGAGCGCTAAAGATACGGGACGTGTGGGCCACCCGGATTGGTCACAGTCTTCGGCACTACAGCACGAGACGAACAGGAGGTCAACAAAGCACCAGCAAACCGTTTGACTTGAGTGGCTCTCTTCGAGACGACAGAGACAGTTAATGGCGACCGAGCTGGTACAGTATCTTGCAAGACTTATTCGGATAATACATGTCAAACAATACGGCTTCCAATCGCTACAGATTGAATGCGTCCGCGACGAACGAGCACCGCAGGCTCGCTGCCCAAGCAACAACTTGTTGCCAACAAGACTTGTTACAAGTCGCTTCCGACGACGACCCTTACGCCAGCAAGAAGAGCCAACCAACGCACGTGCCTGCTTGTGACAGTCTAGCAGCAAGGCGTGAATCTTACGGCCGTCGTCAAATGGCAAGCTCAACCTGGACAAGTTGCAACATCGATCTGGACTTCGGCTCTCAGTGAAGCCTGTCAGGATGCTTGCCACTCAACGGAATAAACAGCAGTTGATGCCAAGTTAGGCCGCTGCATATACCGACGTGAGCGAATCTTTTTCATGCGAATCTCAATGATACGGTCGGTCGCGTGGTCGGTCGGGCCTGAAAAACGCATCTCCAAAGTTCAACCACCCTAGTTCTGTTCACGCAAAATGTGACGCGCCAGGGATGGGTGTGTGTATACATTTGGATACCGTATGTTTAATGCGTATACTGTACACGTAAGATCGCTTAAAAAGTTCCTTTAGCCGATGCCTTCAGCGCCCTTCAACTGCCATATTCAATATGATATTGCCGCCATGCAGTAGTTGTGTGAGGCTAGCTTCTTAAAGACATTAAAATTGCATGTATGTCTTAGCCAGATACCTGGTAGCCGGATAGTTTACTCGAGTTTGTTATCCTCCTTGTGCAAAAAAGTATAAGTAAGCTTGCTTCTATTTATGTTACCGCGGTACGTTGCTTGCATGAGGTAGAGGTCCTGTAGCTTTAAGCGATCGCACAAGTTGACGGGGCTTGCTGTACTTTGAAGTAGCTGTTAGTGGGCTATCGAGGCCAAACCCTTTAGTTTTTATTAATTGAAATGCGTTGGGTATGAGATGCTTCTTGGGGTTCGCGAGCGGAAATTAGTGTTGGCAAACTATCGAAGCATACACTCTCAGATCTGGCTGCGTTGCTGTCCTTAATAATACTATCGCCTTACTTATATTAATAACAGGTCCAATGTCGAGTCCACAGAATGAAAAATCATATAATGAATGTGGCGATTGTGATGTTACACCAGTGATTTATAGAGTACATGCCGTTATTTATCCGCTGGATTGAACGTTGAAAATCTTAATCAGATCGAACAAAAGTTGCTTCGATACGCTTCAGGTTCCAAGTCAGCGACCAGCCTTCAACATCGTACGAAACATTACTGGGCCGGTTGGAGCGTTTAAGCGCTCTCATTAAAAGAGTAAGGAAGGCGCTCGGAATTGGGTCTGGTTTCGACCGGGGAGACGAGCTTTGTGACGCATCAACTCATTCTGAGCAGTGACGAGAGTTTCCGTATTACCTCTCGCTAAAGCTTTTGGTCACGAAGTCAATAAGTGTCAAGACCATCTCGAACGCAAAGTTTGAGAGAATGAGGCCCTCGACAGTCATTTATCGTCACTATGCTGGCTTCGTTAGTGCGGAAGCACAAGACATAACTAAACACGATTCAAGAGTGAAATGCTGACTCCAACACAAGACAGCACGCAGAATAACGAGCAGAGTAAAGCTAAAACAAAAACTGCCGTGCAAGTCTTACAAGAGAAGGAGACAAGGAGGCAACATTCTCGGCGTTGTGTCAACAGGCTCGAGATAAACTTGCTTCCTAGTGTACAACAGCTCGAGCTTATGAATCTATGCCTGGAAATTGCCATTGCAGAGCGACAATGAATCGAGAAGCATTGGATTCTTATGCAGGTGGGCCCCAACTGCCAACAAAATATCATACGATGTTTTGAAGGCATCGGTGGAGAAAAGTGCTCGTCGCGGTGGCAAGCAACGGAGTGCAACAGACCTAGAGGTGACCATGAGTCCTGAATCATAGAACAGCTTCACAACAAGATACAGACTATTATGCTTCTAATGAGAAAGATAATATAGAGGGGGAAATGAGGATCCGTCACCCTCGCAGTGGCTATCAAATTTGTTCTTAGGCGTGCAATGGGGTTGGATTATCCAACTTGGATACTGCACGCGTCGAGATTATAGTACAAATGACGCAGACTCGTTCCTTGTAAAGCGCTCAAGTGGGTTTGGTCCAAAACGTTTGGATCTTTAACAGCGCAGTGCTAGCAACCATCACGCGCAGCAGTTCTAGTTTAGCAATGTGCCCACATCTGAGCTCCAGAGTAAGCTTACGTTGCTGCGTTTAGGCCAACGCGGCGACAGCTTTGCTCCACTGTTGCGCAATAATCTACAAGAGTCGCAATCTCATCATAGTTTCCCTCCTATGAGCCCACAGCAACAGCTCGCGTTAATGCAACTTCAGTTTGAGCATCTTGAGCACCTTTGCGCACCTTCGAACGTTGAAGTTGCGCACGTTCCACTGGAACTTCCAGCACCTTTGAGCACGTTCTGTTCAGCACCTTTGAGCAACTTGAAGCACCTTGAGCAACGTCGGACAACTTTGAGCACCTTCGCTACTCCAACTTTGGTACCAGCATTGCCTAGACACTATTGGAGGGTAGACTACCGGCCGATGGATAACAGGGATTTTTGATCACCTCAAAGTGTCACTTTGCCACTTTTTTAGTTTATGTTGCTTGATGGACTGTTGAATTGGAGTTCGAGCTCGTTGTGAAGCTACATCTAGCTCTTAAATGAAGGTCTATTGTACATGCAAGAGCTTAAAGTATGTTGATGACGAATCGGCCAAAGCTGCCTAGACCTCGCAAGTTATCGTTGCTCGCATTGCACGGTCATGCCCACGACAACGGCCACAGGCTCTGGGCATCTGCGTCTGGGCATTTGGTAACAGACTGCAGACGTTGCTGCGTATTATAGCACCGCCGGCGTATGGAATAGTACCCAAAACCGTGGCATATGCTGTACAAATGCAATGTCACTCTAGAAACCAAGCTGTGTATTTCATTAGCTCGATATCCTCATTCCTCATTCAGATGCCGCACTGGCAGCGTTCGTCACTGAAGTTTTAGATACTTCACTTTTTGTGGTCCACATCACTCATTTCGGTCTGAACAACTTGGTTTCCGTAAGTGAGCCCATCTATCAATCAATCGCGCAGGGGAAAAGCTCCGAAGCAGCCATGGTGAAGGAAATGCCGCTCGACATCGGGCTGCGCGTAGGTGCGTGCGCTCCCCTCCTAGTATTGTATCATTTCGCTTCATCATATGACCCTCTCCCCTCGCTCTATACCAATCAGACGTTCTGGACGACGAGGGTATCTGGAACACGGGTGTGGTCGTGGACGTGGGCAAGGAGGCTGACGAGGACGAGGACAAGGTCGAAGTCAAGTACGACGGATGGGGCGACGAGTACAACCAGTGGATCGACGTGGCTTCGCAGCGTCTGGCCCCGCTGCACACGTACACGATCGTCAAGAAGTGCTGGGCCAAGCTCACCAAGTGGCCCTGGTGGCCCGCCTTCGTGCGTAAAGTATTACTTCAAGGTATTTATAGCACTTTCTCACCTACTACTATTATTTTGTATGCAGGTGGTACTACGCGCGCCGACGACAGCGTTGGCAGCGCACGGCCTCGAGGAGGAGACGAAGCTGTACGTGGAGTTCTACGACTCGTTTAATGAAGAGAAACGCTCGCGCTGCTGGATGCAGAAGAAGAACGTGGCGTCGTTCCGTGACAGCTTCGAAGAGCGCGCGTCCAAGAACATTGGCAAGAATTTCCCCAAGTTTGTGGAGGGCACACAACGCGCCAAGGCCGGCACGTCGCCCTTGCTGTTCTCAGGACCGGGTACACTCCCGATCGAGTACTCGAGCAAGATGGCTGAGCCTTTGGACGAGAAGAGGAAGGAGTGCACCACGGAGCAATGGTTCCATCTCTACAGAGACTTTAGCAACCGCTACCAGGACTTGTACGGCTACTCTACGGCCCCTACCGGGTCGTCCTCGTCCTCGTCTCCTGGACTGAAGATGGGCAAGCGCGCTCCTGGTCGCCCCAAGAAGGTGGTCAAGCAGGAACAGTCGGAAGGTGCGTGACTTGAGTTTATTATGGGGAGAAGAAGAGTGATGGTGACGGTTTCTATTGTGATATTTCGTTTTCTATTGTGATTTTTTTCAAAAGATGAAGATGACAGTGAAGAAAAGGACGAAGAACCCGAAGCCGCCGAGAGCGGTGACGAAGAGGGGCAGGCGTCGACTTCTGCACGACAGGCAACACGTCGCAACAAGCGCGCGGCAGCTCCAGCCCCTTCAGCCCACCGCAACACCCGACCCCGACGCGTTAAAGGTTAATTTTGACGTTGCTTCCTTCCGTAGTGTGTAGTACGGGTGGATGGGTGCGTGCTTGCGTGCCCTGTGCGTAGCTACTCTGCCTCCCCCATGCGTGCATAGTGTTTGACTGTGTATGTGTGGTTTGGCTCGTTTTTTAATCAGTAATTGAGGTACTGACCGATACAAGCTCTTCCATGGTTGGTTCTTCCTTTTCACCTGCCCCATCCGTCCGCGACTCGAGCTCCAGATCTTCGAGTATCGCTCGGGACACCAGCGTTGCGACCAATCGCGCGTTGTTTACCGCTCTGCAGTCTGTAGACGCAGCTTTGCCTGTTAACCGTCTGTACAGTGAAGACAACGGGATGGCCCCCATCGAACCCCGTCTTGAGGACGTGGTAGATACGCATCGACGGAAGCATCGACCGGCCAATTTGTCTGCGCGTGCTAAAGCTGCTAAGAAGCCCAAGACTGAGAGACAAGCGCCCAAGCGAGACCCCGATTTCTACCAGGACTGGTCGGGTGGATCTCGCTACGAAGTGGACAACAAGCCGTGGAGCATTCTAGGATGGCTGACGGAAGGTTTGAAGAGCAGACTGCAGAGAAAGTGAAGAGAGAAGGCAGAGGAGGCAGAGGAGGACGCTAAGTGTAAATGGAGCATTGTTCTGATGTACTACTGCGATTTTTGTTGTGAAATTTCAAATGCATACTGTGAAAAACTAGCAATGAGTTCTCATTTCTTTGTCGAGTCTTTCGCGAACTTCGAGGGGACAATTGCGGTGTGTTCACGACGAACTGCTGCTAGTGTCGCTGGCGCTTGTGGCGAGTGATTAAGACGAACTACCGAATCAGCTTGATGCGCTGTCAACAGCGACTGAAACACTCCGTCCCGATAAATTTTAGGGACGGATGCACCGACGTATCGCGGCGAAATGCCAGGTGCTAGTAATTGAGAGCGATGAAGCCACTGCTTTTCACCGGAAAATGGAGATTGAATGGACGGGAAACGCGGATTCTGCTCGTAATACACTGCTCTGTTAGTAGCTGGTGGAGAATGAGGAGAGGACGGGCCTCGCATTCTTCGGGGTCCATTAGTATCGTAAAATTCACACAGTGAACGAGAAAGAGGGTCAACGTCACGTAAAACTTCCCAAGATGGAGTGCTTGCAGCCCACTGGATGCCACGCAAAGCCGAGAAGTACACGCTTTGGTCGTGTGCACCGATGAAAAACTCACACACAAGTCCTGAAAGACAAAACACGTAAGTCACTCTTTCTACGTTGCATTGATTTTTATATACCGGTAGCGTACCACAAGCTTGCTTTGTGTTGTGTCCAAGGTTGATGTAGTTGGCGAGTTCCGAAGTCACTCGCTTCATGTAGCACAGATGCGGAGCCATTACATCAGGATTAAAGCCACTGCGACGAAGAATCGTACTAGAAAACCCGTCAGGGTGCACGATATCGAGAGGAAAGAGTTGAGGATCGTTTCGCTGCGTATTTTGGTTTTCGTTGACGGCTTCACTGTCGTCAATGCCAACGACGCCGTGCTCACTAGACATTCTTGGTTGAGCCCAAAGAAATACGTCAGAATGAGTACGCGGGGTGGACTTCTTACTACCGTCGCTGGGTCCGTGACCTGACGAGATAGTTGTTCTGGCATTGCTACCCGAATGCCTCCATACAAGGAAAAAACTGGCATTATTATAACACGGAATGTGTCGCTGCAGGCAGAATACCCCCTTGGTCGGCTTAGAAGTAGACGACAACTCCGACGGTATGCTGATGATAGGGAGTTCCATATCCCTGCAAAACGCCTTCCACGTAAATGTCAGTTCAGGATCAAGCTGGGCCACCATCTTTGCGCTGACTTCTCACTTTAAGTTTCCGTCGAGAAAGCTTCTCCACCTCAAAGCCAATACGACACACAGCAATGATATCGTCCAAACAGGAGGAAATATGCCGTTCAGAAGGCAGAGGCGTCTCAAATGCTTCCAGAATCGCTTTCGGGGAGACTCGCTGTACAAAATCAACACGACGTAGGTCAAGAATGCAGCGAGTGAGCAATAGAAAAATTGTTCTAAACCATGAAATCCTTCGCTTTGACACGGCCGGTCGATGATGTTGTGTACCAAACACTTGGTTGACTACGTTCCGATCAAGGTTGAACGTCAGATTAGTACTGCAAGACACATACAAAGCCGATGAAGTACCCGCTTGGACTGAGCAGAACTGTATCAGGGATCTGAAGTGGCATGCCTTCACCTATTTTCCCGCCACTGATCGCTCGAAACAGCACAACCCACTCATGGGCAAGATCGTCCGAAGGAATTCCGAGTTGAGAGCACGTCTTCTGAGTGAACGCAGACAACCTCAAGGGCTGAATCAAAGGTGGCTGTCGGACCGTATACAGCGGTCGTCGTTTGCATTCCGGAGTATCCTTGAAATCCTCATCATCCCCGCTTTGACTTGTCATTGGAGTTTTCTCCTCTCGCAAGTTGGGAGCCAGGCATCTCTACCAGAATAGGTTGGCTTTATTCGCCTCACTAAAACCAAAGAAAGAATACAACACTACCGGTATACGCGACATACGCTAGGGCCCACTATCTCTGCGTAGTTAGCTTCTGTCACTGACAGTAAACATGCGTTTAAACCACTTGTCCATCGAAAATCCTTTGCTGGAGCTGAAAACTGCCGTTGACGGAGTAGGCACCGACTCCGTAGGATCAGGCGCTGCTTCATCAAACTTTCTCGGCACGCTAATCACCGTCTTCTTCATAGTTTTTGGCTGAGCACTCTGCTCCTCGTCATCGTCCAATCTACCTACCATCGCACAAAAAAAAAAAAGTAATAAGTCGCATTGCCTTTAGTTTTCTTCCTAAACTTCACGATAAGCTCACCCTCTAAGCCTGCTTGCATCATACAAACACGTCCAGACATCTCTTCATCTTCGTCTTCTTTCTTCTCGTCTCCATTCCCCTCGGTCGCACGTGCAGCGTTTTCCACCTCTGGTAGGGATTTCGCCTCGGCTTTTTCTTCCGTTGTCTCCTTGGAATCGCTATGGAAGTCAAGCGCCGTGTCTTCGTCAAATAAAGCCCCAACTGTACTTGACTCGGGACGGTCGGAGCTGTCTGCTCTTTGATCTACTGACAGAAACGAGTGGCCTTGTTGGCTAGAGGAAAACTCAAGCATCGGTGATCTATCTGCTCATAGGCAACACGTATACACTATTAACTCTCCGCCCACAGCCAACATTCATCACCTTTTCATACCTTCTTGACCGCCCGGAACAACGGAGGAGCCGCTAACCTTGTCATCGACCCGGAGAAATGAAAACGCCAAGCTTTTTGGCTGGTACGAGTGTGCTTTCTTTGCTCTTGAGGCACTTGGCTGCGACCCATCTCGAGCTGTAAGTATCGTTAGAGAATACTACGACACCGTTACTAGCAGTCTCAAAGCAGCGTACTTACAGCAAGATGACGAGGAACTGGATCGCTTCGGCGCAGTAGCTTTGGCCGCTTCTTTCTTCTCCCTGTCCAAGTTTCGTAATTCCTTTTGGGCAGCCGCAATGCGTTGCTCAATCAGAGACAGCGGGGGTTTGCTGTGCTTCAGTGGCTTGCTCTTGCTTGACTTCGGTGGAGCAGCGACAGCTTCAGAATCCGTGTCTTGCTTGCTGTCTTCTGCGTGCTTCGACTGACTACTGGCCACTGACTTCTTAAGAGCTTTATCTGGTCGCTCCACTTCCTTCGCTGCGTCTCTTAGAGCTCCTTTCTCTTCATCTTCCCAGTCGACTTCATCTGAAAGTGAACGTGGCGAGCGAGTCAAAGTTCTGCGCTTTGGACTAGCAGTAAGACTGACATCTTGAAGCGGAGGAACACTTCTTCTAGCCGCCATCTTGGTTTGTCCTGCGTCATCAGAATATCACAGTTGTTAAGCATCATTTTCTTTTCCAAAAGTGCGCTCCATGCTACTTACCTTTGCCTTTTTTCTTGACAAAGTGAGGAGTTACTTTGGCATCGCCTACTGTCGCTTTGTCGTCCGAGTTGATCTTCAAACGTTCGACAGCCTTCGATTTGGCAGCCAAAAGCGCTGATACTAAACTGTCTTGGGAATTGGCTAACGGACTTGTGGCTTCAGAAATGGAACCCGGGTCAAAGCCATCGGAATGCATGTTCTCATCGTTGTCTTCACTCAGCGACAGGGAAGAATCTGATGACCAAAACACAGTCAGTCGCATGAATAACACCTTACCTTCGACAGTCAAGAACACACCTTTTCTGCGCCCAATGGCTGGTTCTGTAGGTTCACCGCTGCTTGCCTTCCGGTTGTGAGGTATAACTTTCTCTGTTTGTCTCTGTCGGACTCGTTGACGACCAGAGCGTGGAGTTTTTGTCTTCATCTTGTGTTTCCGAGAGGGCTCATCCTCCAAGAACGCGTCGTTTTCCTCGCTCTCTGCATATTGTTTTCTAGGCGATCTCGAAGGCTTCCTCGCCACTCTTCTACGATGAACGTCATCGTCCCCACTGTCTTCATCGTCGTCAACAATAATCTCATCCATTAGTACCGTAACATGCCGTGGCATACTCGAAGCTAAGTTGGTGTCTTCAGGAGAGCTCGACCGCTTCCCTTTCGTCGGTGTCATCTCCTTACGAGTCACGGGAGACACAGCTGAGCGTCCTTTACTTCGCAGTCGTCGCTTCTTCGTCAGTGCAGCACTACGCTCCCCTCCACTCGCCTGGTCATCACTGCTGCCAAGTCCAACTTTTGCCAGCGGTTCCTGCTCAATTTTCACCGCCACCGACTGCTTCTTCGCAGGCAATGGACGCTTCTTCTTCTTTAAGTCTTGATCGTCCCGTGGTGGTGATGTTATTGGTCTTCGGACTTTCAGTTTTAGCACCGGTGCAGCTTCATCACTGGAATATTCGTCCTCTTCATCGCCCATCGTCTCGTACTTGTGTGTCTTCAAGTGGCGCTCTCTGTTATTGTTAAAATTGCGGTACCAAAGTCTACTGCCCATGAGTTTGCGCATTCTTTCGACCGACTCGGTCGTTGTATTCTCGTACTGTAATGGCAGCGTGCCCTTGGCAAACGTTGGCATTTTTGCAGTTGCATCCGACTGGAGAACGGACCCAAGCGCGAGCTCAAACTGCGCGCCATTCGTCTCTTTCCGATTTTTGTCAAAGTTTCCATCAAATAGCTGCACTTGGCGTCTTTTCTGCCAGCAGCTACACTCGGACATTACAATAGTGAGCGATATTTTAAAATTACGTCAAAATATATTGCGCATACCGGTCTCGATTGGCAAATGTGGCGTCTTCCAGAAAATCCACGTACAGGCGGTTCTCCAGCGTAAGATTCTTGATGCCGGCTATTGTTCCAGGCGTGCGAATTGTAATCTGACACTCCAATGATACGATAGTAAATAATCCGTTCACCTAATAGTAATAATGTCAACGCACAACGGAGGGCCACAAAGGCCAGTTGAGATACTTGACCCAGCACTTGACAGCCCATGTGAATGTGTGGTATGGGGCCACGCGGTCGCTGTCCACGCGAACAACCTCGTCGTATTCCTCGGGCCAACCGTCGTACATGACTTCAACCTGGCGTGTCAGTTAGCATCGACTTTCCAGTAAGTGAAGGAGAAATTTAAGTCAATGTAGCGCCGAACCTCTTCGGACGACGGCACACTAAGCACTCGCGCGACGTTCCACACTCCGTCTTGATCCATCACGTCTGCACGCGCCATACCGGTAACAAGATGACATGCGTAAAAAGCAGTTAAGACTTGATGTGTTCGGTAGCCTGCAGAGTCGAGAGACGAGAGCAGCGTACCGAGCCAGTCGCCCTTAGTAAGTACGACGCTCCGGCGCGGAGATACGCTCTGTGTCTTCATCGTGATCCCCATGCTTCTGTGGCGTTTGATATAACAGATAGAGGATACTCGAATTGAAAATAAAAAATAATACATGTACCGGTACATGTAGATGCATTCTAAACAAGAATTTTGTCGCGCTTGAATAATCACAGTAATTTATCCGTCATTTATTCGATATTTTGCTTCGAAAAAGAAACAGAAAATTTAGTTCTCGGCAGATTCACCATTTATGAAATCTGCCATCAATTTGCGCTTAAACCACGACTCGAGTGAAAATCCTCTACTAGAGCTGAATATTGTGGTGGATGGAGCCGTTAGCGCAGCACGAGCCCGGACTCTTGAAGTTGATAAGTTAAGCCGAGGTGGCGAAGCCATCCTACTCTTGAGCCACACGGGTTCCCGTGGCGGCGGTGCTACGTCGAATTTTCTTGATACACTGAAGACTGTCTTCCTGGAAGATCTTAATTTCTCGGTACCTGGCGCCTCTGTAAGTTAAGTTAGTACACGAATTGAACAACACACCTAGAAAATACATTACCTGCACTGTCCCGTAGCATTTGAGCCTGCTGACATGGCTGGGGCTTGACATTGTCGTTTGAGCTCAGATCTTGGTAAACGAAATATGTTTGCTCGCCAATCACTCCAGTGTTCTTTGTGTCAGACACTGCCATGGTCTCTTCTTCAATATCGCCCCAGTTTCCTTTCTGTTGTGGTGGTTCAGAGTCATTGCTTGACTCGTCTTCTGCGTCATCCTTGGTGTCCGGTATTTCTTTGTTTTCCTCGTCCTCAACATCTTCCTGAACTTCTATTATTGTTGGTGGTGCCGAATCATCGCTTAAGTCTTCTTCTTCTTCCGTAGCGCCAGGTACTTCCATGCTTTCCGCTTCCTCAATATCACCCTGGACTTCTTTCGGTGTTGATGGTGCAGAGTCATCACTTGATGCGTCATCCTCTTCATTCCTGAAAGTCTCGTAGACATGATTCTGTCTGTGATACATTTGGCTATGCGCGAATCGCTGAAACCATTCCTTGTCGCCCATCTTCCTTCGCATGGTCTCGACAGATTCTGCCGGGCTGCGTTTGTACTCCAGAGGGAGAGCCCCCAATGCAAACTTTGGCATCATGGTAGATGCCACAGATTGCAGCACCAACTTCAGTGCTCGCTCAAAATCGACGCCAGTGGACCCCGTGCGCTTTTTATCGAAGTTGTCTTCAAAGGTCCGTACTTGTCGTCTTGCTTGCCAGCACCTACCAAGTTATAATCGAGTGTGGGGTAAGTACTGCAGCACATTATCCAGTAAAAATGCATACAAACCTGTCACGTTTGGCAAAATTTGGGTTGTCGAAGAAGTCGACATATACTCGGCGCTCAGCTGCGAGGTTTCGAATGCCTTCTTTTGTCCCCGGCGTGCGAATCGTAATCTACAGCAACTAAACATCAGTCTACAGTAGAAAATCTCCAATTATGGAAGCAACGCACCAGTGAGGGCCACAGCGGCCAGTTTAGATACTTGACCCAGCACTTGACTTCCCATGTGAACGTATGGTACGGAGCTACTCGGTTGCTGTCGACTCGGACAACCTCGTCGTACTCCTCTGTCCAGCCATCGTACGTGATCTCCACCTGTGGCATAACAATATTAGCTACATTAGACTACATTATTGCTGGGCGACACGGTACAGCACCTCCTCCGGCGACGGAACACTCAGCACACGAGCCACGTTCCACACACCGTCGCCGTCCATGACGTCTGCACATTTTCGTCAGAGCATCAGCTAGATGAACAGCGAAGATGCCGAATAGAGGGACAGTACATACCGAGCCAGTCGCCTTCCTTCAAGATGAACCTCGGCTTTACCGTCGAGCCATTGCGGGCTGCGAGCTTGGCCCGCTTCGTCCTGCTCGCAATGACGGATGTCACCTTTGATGGTGCCATTATCAAAGTGAAAATTCATGTTTGAGCACATTTTGTTTTAATTGTCGTCTAAGTGAAAATTCTTGCTGGACACATTTTTTTAATTGTCGTTATGTGAAAAATCATGTTTGAGCTCTCTACTACTGTTCGGTATGCTCTACAGTATAATTCTGTAGTACTTCGAAGTACTATGAATAAACTAGTACTACTACTGGTCCCGTAGTATCCAATGTATTAGTACGCTCTAGCATTTCTAATCAAGCAAAAAAGTTTTTTTTCTAAAAAAACTACACTTCTGCGACGCAACTTACGAACTGCTTCGAACGAGAGATGTCTGATATCGCACTTCTTGTTCTCCTAAAAAATACTGGGCTAGGCATACAAAACGGTGGCGAATCGCCCCTGGTGGATATATAAAACAGTGCGTCATGACAGCCGCCTTGGGCTTCAAACACGCAGCAACAAACGGCAGTAGTTGCCGTAGAACCTGGGGCCCCTCACTGCAGCACGCAGCTGCCACGAATGAAATCCACGATGTCGGTCTGTGCGCAGCGCGGGCAGCGGTACCAACCATTGGTCTCGGGACGAACCTTGGCTGGGTCACGATAGAACGTCTGCCCACATCCCCTGCATGGCGCGTAGTTGCGCGAGTCCGTTCCGGCCGCAGGCACGAAAGCCGTCGCCACCGGCACTGCGCGCGGAGGTAGTTGAGTTGACGGGTAGACGGATCCAACCGCTCGACCGTCGTGCACGACAGTTGCAGCCATAGGCGGGAACAGCACCTGCATGCGGCACACGGGGCAGTAAATCTCCGTGCGAAGATGGTTGTCAATGCAGTGTCCGTGAAACAAGTGCCCGCATTGTGGCTGCTTGATGATGTCCTTTTCAAAGAGCCCCTTATGGCAGCGAGCGCATTGGGCGTTAGTTGTGTCCATGCCTGTCTTGGGGTCCTTTAGCGGAACGTACGAGCGCTGTGGGATATCCGCCGCAGTCTGCGGCAATGGCTGAGCAGCAGGAACTGATGCAGGAATCATTTCTTGTAGTCGATTTGAGTCCTAGAGCGCTTAATCGAGAATGGGGCAAGCGGGTTGATCACTCCAACGCTGGATTCTCGGCTGATTGCGGACGAACATTCCACTGCGACTACAACATGGACACATTGAGTGTACCACACAACTCAAGTGTACCACACTGGTGCACGTGGCCAAAGTTTAGCTCACACGACTCCACGCACGTACGTAGGCTGCCTTCAGGTGAGTAGGCGGTAGTTCTTCTTCTTCTTCTTCTGCACATCTCTTCTCTGCGTGGAGCAGCTTCAGATCTCTGTACAGTGAATACCAAGCACCTAATAACTTTCGAGAGACAAGCATGTTCGGCTATTTCGCTGAGAAGCTCAACGTGAAGAATCTGGGTGAGCTGCTGGCACCCACGCTCACGCCCGAGCAGGAGTTCCATTCTGCCATCGAGCAGGGGCTGCATGATAAGTTCGTGCACATGCTGGATGAGCTTAATATCGATCCGAACGCCAAGAACGACGCGGGCAACCTCCCTATTCACACGGCGGCGTACTATGGTCGCGTAGACTTCATTGAACTTCTGCTGACTCGCAACGTGGACGTCAATGCCTTGTGTCCACGCCAAAACTCACCACTTCATTACGCGGCAGCGCAAAGTCGCGACGAAGCGGTCAAGTATCTTGTGAACCACGGTGCCAATCCGGCGTTACGCAACCGTAGTGGCCGTACGCCATACGACATCGCCAAGGGAGACAACATCCGCCAGTACTTATTGCCCCTGCAGTTTCGGCATGAAGACCCGTCTCAAGCTGCCACAATGCTGCCACCGGGAATCACTCCCTCCATGGACCCGATGGCGCCTCGACCGGTCATTGCGCCGCCCCCGCTCAGTGGAGACTACACGGCGGCGCAGGGTCCTCCTATGGGTATGCCTCAGCAGCAGACACCGCAGAACAACTTATACGCTGCTGCTACGCACAGTGCGATCCCCCGTGGCGGGCCGTCGCGATTCGCTCGTCCCAAGGACTACCGTCCCATCCAGGCGGACGGCTTCGGCTCAAGTGTGGGCAACGAGGAGTTGACTGCTAAGTTCGGCAACAAGCGTGAGATAAAGGTGACAGCTCCTCCTCCGTCCGTGATGGTGCCATCGGCGCCTGCTTCAGCTGACAGCGGTGTAGCAGAAAACGTCGCGGCTGCTGCTCCGCCTGCTCCTGGCGCGAACCCGTATGCCTCCTCGTATGCAAACCAGCCACGGACGTCGTCAACTGGCGGGTACCCTGGATACGCGCCTCCCAACGCCGGTGTTGCAACGCGTGGCCCACCTCAATTCAAGATCTTCAACCCCAAGCTAGCTGGTGGAGCTGACGATAACGCCAACACAGCCCCCGCTGCGCCAGCGCCTCCCGTGGCACACCAGCCTCCCGCCTTCGGGGCGGCAGCAGCTCCTCAATACTCGCAGCAGCATGGTGCACCTCAGTACGACGCGCCTGCACAGGACGAAGAAGTGAATTTATCTGCTAACGCGAGTGTGCTGCAGTAGCTTTAGAAGCGGTAGCAAGTTGAAATTGTGAGGGTTATAGTGCAACATACACTTGAAGATGCCTGTAGCCATCCGGTTAATCATTCTCAACGTGGTCCACATCGTTTTCCGGATACAGCCGCTACTTGTGACGCACGAGATCATGAGCGTGGAGCAGGAGACCAAGGCGCTGGAGTCGCTCTCGTTCGAGGAGCTGTCGCTGCTCAATGAGCGCAAGGAGGCGCTGAAGAAGGAGCACACGGCTTATGTGGATGAGCACCCGGAGATTAAGACGCTGTTGAGCGGCTTCATGTCAGCGCTGCTACTTGAGAAGCCCCAGGACGTCGTGGCGTTCGCAGCTGAACACTTTTCAGCTTTCAAGCCGCCGCACACGGAGTTGGAGCCTATTGTGATCGCTGGACCGTCAGGTGTGGGCAAGGGAACGCTCATCAACCTACTGCTGGAGAAATTTCCCAACACTTTCGGCTTTTCTGTGAGTCACACGACCCGAGGTCCGCGTGAGGGCGAGGTGGACGGCGTGGCCTACCATTTCACTGCCAAGGATAAGGTGCTTAAGGAAATCGAGGCTGGTCTCTTCCTGGAACACGCTGAGGTTCATGGCAATGTGTATGGCACCAGTAAACGCGCCGTGCAGGACGTGCAGGAGAAGGGCAAAATCTGCATCTTGGACATCGATATCCAGGGCGTGCAGCAGGTTAAGAAGTCAGGTATCCCTGCGAAATACCTCTTCATCGCCCCACCCTCCATGGAGGAGCTAGAGAAGCGTCTGCGTGGACGTGCCACCGAGACGGAGGACAAAATCCAGCTGCGTGTCAAGAACGCCGCGGGTGAACTGGCTTATGGCCAGCAGCCGGGAGTGTTCGACGCTATCCTCGTCAACCAGGTAGTGGACGACAGTTTCCGGGAGCTGGTGGAGACTCTTAAACAGTGGTACCCCACTGTGGAGCTCAAGTAGATGCATTGAAACCTTAACGGACTGTGATAGTGCAGACCTGATAAAAAAAAACGTCGCTGAGATACGAGCGACAATTCGTTACTTCTTCATTCAACTGATGCGATATTCGACTTGCAGCGTGTCGTCAGGCTTGGGCTTGGGCACGACAATGGACGAGCGTTTGCGGTCGATTGTTGTGGGTCTTCGACGGCCTTTAAATGCATCAATGACTGCTGCTAGTGCTGATGGATTGGTAGGTGGAGTGGCAGCGATAGCTGGTCGAGTGGACTGGACGTTGATCGAAACCGAGCCGAGTGCAGCCGCCTGGGTGAGCTCTATCATCCACTTTTGCTTGTCAATCGAACTGGGAGCAGTACACAGAAGCTGCATCAAGTCGTCGACTCTTAGTAAGAAACTTTGACGCAGCAATGTCTCGGCCTCTCCGGAAGTAACAGGAACGTCAATTACTGAGCAGGGTCGACGAGAGTTGCATAGACTGTATCGACGAAGACACGCGGTTTGAGCGAGATTGTTGAGGGAGATTGTGTCAGCGTATTCGCGTAGTTCATTGTCAACGAGAGCGTAGAAGAAGCGACGCCCTTGATGCATTCGAGGAAGAATAACGGCGAGTAAGTTTCGAAAGTCTGCGGCGGTACTTCTAACGCGTAGTGATGTCAGGAACCCTTGCTTTCGAGTCAATTCTTGGCGTGTAGTAGTGTCTACAGGACGCGGCAATTGTGGGCGTGAGCGTGGCGTCCTCGCCGGTTTGCGTTTAGGCCGATTGACTTGAAATCTTGGTGACTGTTCTAGCTGCACATTCTGCCTCTGATACGATTCCCTGTGCTTGGCGAATGGAGACGGACAATCTGCAACGTATTTCCCCAAGCTGTTGACTGCGATACGCGAAGGCTCAAGCCGCATCGCTCGCATTGGCGACCCAACCATGCATATCAACGCGTGAACTCGTTCCCTGACGTCGACTTCGTACGAAATGAATCCATCTTGGATAAAGCTTATCACTTCGTCAATATTCACAGACAAACGTGATATTCTGCGTCTTCTCCCCTCCCTGGAGGCGTTGCCGATGTTCTTGAGGTACGATTGTTCGTCTGTGAGGTCCGTAGTGTTGTTTCCATCGTGCTGTGATGCAAAATTCTTCAAGCATTGATCTTCACTATTGTCCACGAATGATCCTACCAAGTAAGGGGCCAACAACTCGTTCGAGATGTCGTAGCGCTCAATCCGATGTTGCGTATCACACTCAGCATTCACATTTTCAATGAGTTCACATGGAGCATCACGAGCTAGATTTCTCTCATCGTAACCACAGGACTGTGTCGTGTTTTGAGCGACACGAGACTGAATAGCTGGAAGTCGTTGAATTGGCTCTTGTCTTCGGGTTTGTAATGCCAACTTCTCATTCATCACAGTCGCAGTGGCTCTTTTAGCCAATTCATACTGCTGGACGTATAGTTCCTTCAGCTGATAGTTCAGATCCTCGAGACTGGATAACATACCTCGAGACACAATCGCTTTTAACTTGTCAATGGAAATGCTAGCTATTGTTGCGGATGCCGAGGTTGAAATTACAGTAATCGGGAAGTGATCGGCGTCCATCCAAAAAATATGCCCAGCGCTCACATCAGCTATAGTAGCCACGACTTTGATGGTCTTAGCACGAGGAGTTTGTCGTTCATCATCACACGGGTCGTAGCCAGCGCCTGTGCCCGAACTGCTAGCCAACGTGACACTTTGACGAACACAGCAGGTGCCTTCTTTGATCAGATATACCTCCGCGACTGAACCTGACGTTCGATTACTGTCTTGATGCTGAAATATACCTGTAAGGAGTGCGAATCATTTAAGAAAAAAATAAACCATTCTGACTAAAAAAACTCACAAGTTCCTCGAACATGTGACTGGAATGAAAAGCTGTGATACAGATACGCGATTCTCTCCAGGTCCAGTGAGCTGAAGGATGGGATTCGTGTACGTAGATACTCAATATTCCCTCGAGCTTCGTGTTTACACGGCCAGTGCTTTATAAACATCTCGGCTGGAATCGACAATAGCTTGGTAGGTTCTGCTGCGATCGCAGCGACGTATCTTGGCGCCTCTGGTATCAAAATCTCAAACTCTCCGAAGCCTTCGCCCGCCACAATCTCACGCAGATTAAAGTCGGGAACCGAGTTCACAGTCTGGGGTACGACGGTATTACTACTAGGACCACTAGCAACGAGATTGATACGGCCACTTAAGAGCAGGAAGAAGCGATGACCTGTCTCATTGCCACCCCCATTACCTTTATACGCATCTGTGTACCGGTCCAGCGCCTCAAAGCGGGCATTCAAGCACAACTCACGCCGAGCGTCCTCTGTCAAGTCCCGTAGTAGTGGGAAATGAGCGATAGTCCCCATCGTCAGAAAGCGTCGTTGGTTCAGAATGTTCTTGAAGAAGTCAAACAGCTTGGGCGGCTTCTTGATCCGGATAAACTCGCCCGGTTCTTCAATCGCTGAGTGTGAAGCTCGTTTGAAAAGTTTCTTACTCGCGACTTGCCACTTGGCTTTAGCATTCGATGAAAGTTCGTTTGCTGCATCTTCTTCTGTTTTGGCAAGAATTGAATGCAGCACATACCGATCCAGACAGAGTATTTGTGTCCCAACTAAAGAGCGACTAGAGCTGGTCTCTGTTGCATCAGCACTGCCAGTGGTTGTGGTATCTGCGTAGATATCGTGTGCACTTCGAAAAATACCAATTGGAGACGAGATCTCCTCCCCGAAGATATCTCCCGGACCCAAGAAAAACATGAAAAGAGCTTTGGTACTTTCCTTCGTCGAGGTGTTGAAACTCTGATCGTCATTCTTGCGCTTGACGTTTACTTTGTTCACCATGGAGTGAAGCGATCTTCGAGTGCCTGGGGGATCTTTCGGAGCGTGCGGTTCTTGCTGGGAGCTATCCGTACTGATACTGCCTGCTTTTTGGGATTGTGCCTCTTTGGCTGCGTGCAATACGAAGTCAGTGAAGCGAGAGTTGGCAATTGCAAGATTGGCCTTGGAGTTCTCGTCTGAGGTTTCGGTCTCTGCAATTCGAGCGATTTTACGTTGAAGAGCTCTGCGGTTTACGGTTCCGACGCCAGATCGGTCTTGGTACAGTTGCTGAGATGTAGTGGAGTAGTTGCTGGTAACACTTCGCTCCAAGGCGGCACTTTGAACGGAGCGCTGACTCGCGTTCAGAATGGAGATTACCTCTTGATTCTCGCGAACATACGCAGCAAGTCTGCCTTGCACAACAAGCACAACTTGCTGAACTGTCTCGTTACACTGGATCAGTCGTTGACCAGGTGCAAGATGCACGTGATGCATCGAGCGCAACAGGAGTTTCTTCTTAGCTTCCGAAGGTGGTAGCCACGGGATTGGAGCTGCCTCGAGGAACGACAATAACCAAGATGGAATGGTCCCCGGACGATGATCTGTGGCTGGTTTTTGACTTGACAAGTGCTTTGGAATCTGCACATCGCGTGGTGATGAAGAGGACATTGCTGCGGTCTTTGATGGAGGAGAAGGTTTGTTGTAGTCGCTCATATCTACCGCTGGAAGATGCTCTTCCAACAATCGAGCGTACACGTTCTCGTCGAATTGAAGATACTCACAATCGGTTTGGGCTAGAACAGTAGCGGGACACACGGTTCCTTCCTGAAGCACCCCGGTTCGGAACGCGTTCCGAGGTGGGAGTGTCTGGATGTGGACACCTTGCATTGCTGCACGATGTTTCAATGCTGCGGAAGGAATAAAATTGGCACTTTCGTCAGCTCCTTTTTCAACCACAAAGTCTTCTGGGTTCATGGTACTGCCTGAAAACGTGGAGTACATACAAAACGGGTGCTTCTGGAACATGTCGACTACCGCCGACATGTTCTCGAGACTGTAGAACGACACAAATCCGGATAACAAGACTACTAGTGCTTGTTGAGAATCTCCTTCCCGGTATATTTCTTCCCCCGCAGTCTTGCACACCAGCGTAGCATGTGTTAACATTTGAGCAAGTAGAAAGCGTGGGACAGTTGGGAAGAGTCCGAACCGCTTCAGGAACATTGCTGCTTCATCAAGACGGCGTTCTTTACTTCTGTCAGGTCCCACAACTTTAGATAAGAACACTGATGGTCCAGACTGACGTCGATTCAACTTGGCTGACGCGTAGTTGTTAACATACGAGCGTCGTGGACTTGTTGGAGGTGACGAACAGCTCCATACGAAAGTCTTTAGAATACTACCGGCTTTCACAATGACGTTGTGGCGCATAGGAAGAACCCACCGCTCAAAGACTGACCGGGTAATCGAGAGTAACGTAGTTCCAGCATCCACATACACAGCAGCCTCGCAAGTCAGACATCGCTTCATCAGTTCACGTACTCCAAACGCATCGCCCGGTAGGAATTGCACAGCTTGGCCGACGGATATAAGTCGTGCAGTCCCCTGGTGATGAAGTGTCTTTTTCGTTGCTTTCTCGCTTTCTTTCTCGCGACAATATTGAGTGTGCAGAGCTCCCGTTACTACAATAAACACGCGGTCAATGGGTCCGCCAGGTTCCTTCAGTACGCTCTTGGACTCGTAATGACGAATATCCATGCGGTGACAGAGACGTTCGATCACAAGTGGCGGAAATTGAAAGAAAAACTTTGACAGCGTTGTATCAGTGAGTAGATGTCGCGTGGTCTGGAAGATATTCCGATTCTCAATAGCCGAAGTCAGGGCGTTTGGTGACGATGGAGCATATGCCATTCCGAGAATCGGATTGTACGATATTCGAAGTTGATCTTCTCGGACGAGCTGCTCATACTGATCCCGAGGTATCCAGAGGATTTCAGTGGACGAGTCACCTGCGACGACCTTGAATCGTACTTTTGTTTGACTGCGACGACGTGGGTTTGAGACCCAAATATGTGAGTGACCCAGTGCCACCATTTGGTCACCAAATGTATGACCGCGGGCTAGCGACGCAAGGGGAGCTTTGGGCATCGCCAAGCTTGAAGTCTTCGGTTGATTGGAGCTTGCGTTGCTTTCCAGAGTATCACCACATTCCGCACAATAGATATCTAGACGGCCGTTGCGGACAATAGCGAGGCCAGTCATGCTCGAGTCTTTGTCTGCATCCGAGGAGAACAAAACTTCGCCAGCTTCAAGTTGTCGGGTAGATGCAGTTTGAAGCAAAGTCTTCCTTGCCGTATCTGATAGCAACGAGAAGATCACTAAATGTGAAACATCTGTACGTGTGGTTTCCTACAAGAACAGCAAAAGATAAGTTAACTACATGTAGTTACAAGGAGGTAGTGTAGATCTTCTGGACCTTCACTGAGGTGAGGACACCCTTTTCAAATACAAAACCGAATAGTTCCGATACACGATCCAATGTGTCCTATTCGTAGCACACAAAATGTGAGCAATATGATCGGCAGCGCATGTTCAAAAGGTAGTCGGATAGCACCTTTGCTAAAAGAATGACGGTCGTAGATTCTTGACTATGCTAGAAGGTGAAGAGTTACATATAACTCAAAGCATTCAAGAACTAAGCTATCAACTTACCACACTTCTGTAGCGGCAGAAAGGTTTTTGATGCTGTCGGCCACGCGCTGGCGGACTTGAGTAGAAGTCGTCGATTCCACAAATGGCTGAGGGGGGGGGTCAGTGTTTCGTTAGTGCTATCATGATCGTCATCATGGTCGCGGTTTTTCAAAGCACCTACCGCCTTTGCCGTAGGTAACTTGAAGCTCGCCAAAGTCGATAGCCACGCCTTTCGCGTTGCTCATTTTGCTGTTCCAGGATCGAAAATTCTCTCTGCTGTGTCTTTGACTAAAAGTTTTGTTAAAGAAACCACAGAGCGAGCCTTCGAGCTGCGACGATCGCGCATCAGTGTGAGTGAATAGCTCTCTAACGCGAATGATGGGCACGTACAATTATGTACGCGTGGGAGTGATCGTCAACTGCATCTTCCTGTAAAAAAAAAGAAATGGTCACTCGCGAAGTTACATGACACTTCAGAAGTACTATAACAGCAACGCCAGACGTAAGTTTAGGTGTCGAGATACCTGGTAGAATAGTACTTCTCCATCAGGAATGCGCTACAAGCGCAGAGTCATAGATGTTAGTAAGAACTTAATCGACGCAGCGAAAAGAGTAACACTGACACTAAGTGTGCACTCTGTTGCCAAGTCTAAAGTGAGCGACAAATGTGAGATAGAATACAGTGGCAACATCAATGAAGGGGGTCGTAAATCGACACGTACATTGCAAAATCTGCGATGAAACGCAAGAAAACACTCCAAGACTTGCGAGATGTTGCTGAATGACGACCACGTCGAGGTCACTACGAAAGCGAGGCCTGGCAAGCAAGGAACCAGAAAAGATTAAGTTACTGCGAAGCACCCGTTATTCGGTTAATAAGCGTACGGAGTTTCAAGAGCTACTACCAGCAGCGTTCGCTTTAAAGTGGTCAACGCCTCAGCGTCTGCTTGAGCGGAAGTACGACCATTGTCGGGGCTCGGCAAAGGGACGTGAGCTGGACCCATGATTGTTTTTATGGCATATAAAACACCGAGTAGTGTGGTTGCTGGCTTCACTTTTCAGCTATTTGTAGTACTACAGTAAATGGCTTCATAATATGACACATCCCAAAAGAAGTCAAAAAGTCATGACAACCTCATCGGATGTTGAAACGGCCCAGCGCAATCGCGGCGTCGTAAGTTTACAGCATCTCCACTGCGCTGTTATCACTGACTGATAGCTGGACAGGTCTTCCATGTCTCGCTGCTATACAATCTGGCGTTGCGGGACGAACAGCGACGCCCATGGTGGAGCCACATTGAGCCGAGATTGATTCTCGGCGCTCTACCGCTGCAAAACAAGAACCACTTGGACCAGGTACACTGCGTAGTTACTACCGGGTAATTATTTCGTCAGGACTTCACTGTGTCTACGGGTGGATGCAGTTGGTGCACGGCGAAGGCGTTAAAGCCATCGTGACCATGAACCAGCCAGTGGAGCTTCTACCGAACTTCTTCTCGACTCCAGTGTCTCCAGGTACGTGACAGAAAACTAATTTCTTGAAAAGAGCGACAACTTATCACGGCAAACGCTGCAGCTGAGTGGGAAAAGGCTCAAGTCGCCCAGTGTTTTGGCTCGACAGGAGACTTCTCTCCACCGACATTGGACACAATCGAGAGGTTGGTTAATGTAAAATTTGTATTGGCACTGGCGACTAACAATGCATAGGTGTGTGAGATTTGTTTACCAGCAGGTCGATGTGGAGCACAACACGACGTACGTGCATTGCAAAGCTGGACGCGGTCGAAGTACCGTGGTGGTGGTGGCTTTCCTCGTTCAGTATCGCGAGATGAAACTGGATGAAGCCTTGGAGTTTGTGAAAAGCAAGCGACCGCACGTGAGTTTACACCCCAAACAGCGTCGTATCCTGCACGAATTCAGCGAGAAATATTCATCTTCAGCTCGAGAAACTCACAACTCTACGTGAAGCTATAATCGCAAGCAAGTTTATACTAATCTAAAGGTATAGATTCCTTCATCATTCGTGGGCTCTTCCCACTCGAAGCCAAAGCCTTTGGCAGTGTCCAGAACGTAATCAATGGAAACATTACGCTTCGTGTACGCCAATAAAAACTCCGACGCGGCTTTGCCTCCGTTTCCCACACTTCGACGACCTGGTTTGAGCAAGTATTTCGCCGTTTTAAAGAGTGAAACCACGTGCTCCTGCTCGTAAATGATGTCAGCACCCAAGACAACATCGAACTTGTCTTCGATCTGGTGCAGATCGACGCCCCACAGCAGCTTTCGACACTCGACACGATCGCCCACACCATTGAGTTTGCAGTTGGCGACTAGAAGATCAATAGTGTCGTCGTCACCGTCGGTGATCACCACTTTCTTGTCCGTGAGGTACGACGCTAAGATACCGATGAGACCAAGACCGCTTCCCAGCTCGATGATGGACTTGCCGGCGAACCGGCCGCGGTCCTGGTACATGTACTCGCTCAGAAAGTCGCCAGCACGCCAGAGGGTAAGCCCAGTCGACTGCAGTGTCTGTCCGATATCGCGGCGAAGTCCATTGAGTCGGATAGTGATCTCAGCGTCCTCCTCGTCACCATTTTTGCCAAATTTGAACTCGAATGAATCCTCTTTGGGCTCAATGTCCAGTGCTTTCTGGATGTCCAGACGCACGTCCGACGACTCATCTTCGACAGCGATACCGCGCTCGATCGCAAACTCCTGCAAAGCTGCCAGTGCGGCGCCAGACAGTACCAACTGCTCCTCATCACCCTCGCTGTCGCTGTTCATGCCGGCCAGTCAAAAATTCGATGCAACCACTGAAAGACTATTTTGACTGGCTAATTTGCGCACATTTGAATTAAAGACGAATAGAAACATCCCCTGAATCAAAATTATACTTTGATAAAATCTCCTTAAAAAATCTCAAGACTTTAAATTTTAACAAAAGAAGATGTAATTTTTGAAAGTGAGTGAGGGTCTTTTATTTTTCGAAATATTTTTGTTTTACAAATCAAGTTAGGTCATGTCGCTCGAATCGCCTGCCGTGCTGAGCCACTTGAGCTCGTGGCTCACCTGCTTCGAGCTATGCTCAATGCGTGCAGTAAACCGTAGCTTCTACACTGGTATACCACGACACACATGGGAGCTCACGGCCAGCAACATCAACAGTTCTAAGTCGATGGATCAACTATCCAGAGTTTTCTCTCACGTGTGGTGTCTGCGAGTGCAGGATGTAATTCTACATGAAACGCCGACGATGAAGTCGCTTATGCCGTGGCTGAAAAGAAGCAAGAAGTTGCGAAAGCTGGTGCTGATCAGAGTGAACTGTATCAGCGGATTGTACATTCACCTCCTGGCTGAAAAGCTCATTAATGTCACTATACGCCAATGCTACCAGGTGCAAGAACACGCAATTATCGCGCCGAATCTCGAGATTTTGGCCATCGAGCACTGCCCCGTGACCAGATTTCATGCAGACACGAAGTTGCCGCAACTCAAGAAGCTTTCGCTGTCATCACGAAGCCTCACCGCGCTTCAGGCACGATCTCTCATCAAGAACATGTTACCAAAGTCTCCTGCGTTAGAAGATTTGAGTTTTGCTAGCTGTTCGCAGCTGGAGCAGGTATTGGTGGACCCAGGGGATCTCCCCGCTCTGCGTCGACTAGACCTCAGCGGATGTCCGAAGCTTTGCCGTGTGCACGTCACATCAAAGCTGCTGGAATACCTCGACCTCTCACGAAACGACAATCTGCAGTATGTGTTGCTGGACCTCGAGCGCATGGTCGACCTGGACTTGTCGTTCCTCAAGAACCTCACGCACTTGTACATCCGCTCGTCATCTCTTCGACGACTAAACCTCCGAGGCTGTGACCAACTAATGCGAAACACTACCAGCGTCACCTGCCCGAACCTGCAGTACGTCGTGTTGCAGGGTACGACGCTAAAGATCGATTACTTCAACAGGGATGAAGTCATCGACGAAGTGTTCGCTCTGCCAGAAAGCACCGACCTTTTGCCAATGGATATTACAAACATTCCTGTTCAATAAAATTGTACTACCGGTACTATAAAATTATACAGGGTTTCAAGAGATCAGAGAAACAAGAAAATCATCTTTCGCAGCTGACGCTTTTCTATCTTAAACATTTCTTCATTCGCCTTGATCATGGGTAATGCGACGAGTTGGCTGTCACAGTCACTATGCCCAGAGGAGCAGGCGCTGTGGGTCGCGGCCAAGAGCGGTGACCTGGCGGCCCTGAGCGAGGGTCTAGCGCGTCTGACGCCCGAGACGCGCTTCTACTCCGAGTGGCGGGACCCTGTGTACGGCTACTCGCCTTTGGCCAACGCTTGCTCGCAAGGTCATCTACACTGTGTACATGATCTGCTCGCATACGGCGTAGACTGTAACGCGCGGGACTCTCAGGGCAACACACCGCTACATATCGCCACAGCATGTGGGAAGAGCGAGGTGGTGCGGCTTCTATTGGAGACACCGGCGGTGGACTATTTCGCCAAGACGTCAACCAAGGCGCAAACAGCGCTGGACATCGCTCGTCAAGCATACAGAGTGTCGGACGGACGGGGGCTCACGTATATTCAGTGTGTGGAGCACATCGAGAAGGTGAGTAGCTATAGAATTATGGTATCGTCGTTGGCAGAGTCTGATCTCGTTGTGCACTTATGATTATCGACAGAAACTATGCCTGTACTCGGGCTGGCTGTATGAAAGGGCGGACAACTTTTTGTCAATTGCTTCAGGCATTTCTGGTCTGGATTCTTGGAAGAAAAGGTAGGGAAAAGATTGCTGAAGAGCGATAAAGATTTTAATGTAAATTGTTATCCAGGTATGCGATGGTGCTACGAACTGCAACTCCAGACGTCGTTGAGATCGATTTATTTCCAATGAAACCTGGAGAGAGACGTCCGCCGGTACCAAGGTATGATAAACGCTTCGATATGTTATTGTGGATAAAAAATAATGTGCGGCGTGCCAATAATTAAAATCGTGTCCAGCTCTGAGCTTTTGTACAGAACGAACGATGGCATTCAGCTGAATGACACTTCCACATGGCTACATCGAAAGGATTTTCGACTATCACTGAAGGTCTCTAAGAAGCAGGATACGAGTCGTGCGTCGGCAGTCCAGTCGATAGATTTCGCTGCCACGAATCAGGGCGAACTCGTCGCGTGGAAGACATTTTTAACAAGTCTACGAGTACGTCTACTGCCCTGAAAAAGTGACGATGAATGTGACTCTAATTTGATCATCTTAATTAGGTCAATCGTCCCGTGAGCGCCATTACCCCTGCGTTTGGAGGAGCTCAACCGGCTCAACCAGCGCGTCCTGCTTCCACTTCTGCTCAGAGCACCAGCTGTACTCAAACGGCATTACAGGAACAACGCGACTTAGAGCGAGCTCTTCAATTATCGCTTGAAGAATCTCGACGCCACTCTAGAACTCAGTCGGCGCCCTCTGCTCCACCTCCTTCCGACACAATGCTAGAAACATTGGGAAACTCTGAGACCGTGGTGGGGCCAGATGGAGTGGAGATTGTGCAACTTATTCGAGACGATGAGGCAGCGGTAGGCCAAGGCCCACGCCCTACAGCATTGAGCTCACCCGTCAAGAGCGTCCCAGGACAAAGCACGGTAACGCAACACATGAACGAATGCGTCATCTGCTTCGATGGTCCGCAAGTAGCAGTTTGTGTCCCGTGCGGTCACAATGCCGTCTGTATGGACTGTGCGCAAGAGCTTCTTGACACCACACGGCTCTGTCCTGTGTGTCGACAGCAAGTGAGAGAAGTCATTCGACTCTACCGTGTTTAAAGGAACCTAAGGCAGCACGGAGAGATATGAAGTACATTTATTATTTTTGAAGATATTGCTACAGAATTCCTTGTTTGTCAGGTAGAATTAAACACGATAAAGCTTGATTAGCTCACGGATGTGTGTCCGGCACACGGGGCATTCCGCCGAGGTCGTGAGTATCTCTTTTGCACACTTCATGCACACAGCGTTGTGGCCACAGGGCACGCACACCGCTGACTGAGGCCCGTCGAAGCAGATGACACACTCGCCAATGGACGAGTGTGCTGCTGTATCTCCGTAGTTAATCACAGGAGGTTTACGCTCGGAAGTTGATGACGCAGTCTCTTGCTCTCTCGCAGCAGGCATGGTAGATACTTGCTTTCCGCTCGCTGCCCAATCATCCCAGTCAGGAGCTGATACTGGCAGTGCCGGTGAAGGTTCCGGGTGATAAGATTGGGGATTCCAGCCTGCAACGTTATCGTGAATGGCTTCTGGCAGCCTCAACTGTTCACGGAGATTAGTAATCGACCGGGTTCGTTCAGTTAATTGCTGTTGCTGGTGTAAAAAGAAGTCCTTCCATGCATCGAAGCTCGCCTGGTTGATTGCAGCAAAGTGCACAGGAGTCTGAAGAGCAGAGCTTGCTCTGTAGTGACATTTGTTGAGCTGATCACCACGCACGATAAAAGTAAAGTCTTTGCGGCTAAACCATCTCGGGTCATTAGAGGCTTCCATTCCCGACGCAACGCTGTATAACATCACGGACGTTGGGCACACTGGGCGCACTCCACCTCCTTGTTTCATGCTGAAGAGGGCCAGCTCCAGGACCCCTGGCTCTCCACGCTCCAACACGATGCACAAGCGACGTGTCCACGAGTTAAGCGACGAAATACCTGACACGAAGGACACCACATTGTCGGTCTTCACGTACAGCCAGCCACTGTACAGACAGAATTTCTGCATCATTTCAAAAAACACAATTAGGATTCCTTCCAAAAAGTTGCTGAAACGTATCCAGTCTCGAACCTTTTCCAGCACTTCGATGCATTTGGCATACGGTTGTGCTTCCTTTTCTTCTTCCTCGTTCGAGAATCTGCTCCTGGCCAGGTCCAGCGGTGTCTTCATGTATAAATTGATCTCGAATGGGTTCACCGCCGGAACTTCGAGTAGAAGCTTAACCATCTCGGGATGTGCTCGTTTGCATGCTAGATGCAATGGTGTATTCATTTTGAGGTCCTTCGCATTGCAATTGGCCCCAGTCTCAATCAGTAGACGAGCGCACTCGACATGGCCCTTGGCTGCAGCTTCAAGCAACGCAGTGCGGCCAGTGTAGGGCTCTTGCCACTCCAGAAACTTGCGCGTCTCGGGTGTGAGGCGCGACGCAGCCGAGCGAATGATGCGAGCATCGCCGTAGTGCGCTGCCGCCCAGAACACCTGGTCTTCCGGGTAAAAGCACTGCGCGAGCCAACTCGCCGCGTTGCCCATGCTGCTCTACAAGATCGGAAGCGATTTCAGTTGTGCCAGAACTGGTAAAACAGTGAGAAACCAGAATGTCGGAATGATGGTTTTATTTGCATTTAAGTGACGCGTTTGCCACAATGAAAATCAAAGTCGCATCTAGCGAATTTGCACGTGCAAATAATATTTGCCAAGTTAATTTACGCCAAAGTGCTCGGTATGGTCACCGTGCAACATTCATGTACAGGTATCGACATGTTCCGTTTGTGCGGTTGGCGCGGTAACAAGTGTCGCGCATAGGTCTGTATTGTCGACCTGCGCGAAGCAACGCTGTGGACAGGCGCGCGTTGCAGCAGGACCACTAAAGCGGAAGTTAAGGGCTTGCAGTGAGTGCTCAGTATTGGTAACTCCAAGAAACCCAACCAGTTTCATACAGCTGACCACTTTCAGCTGTTCGATGCGTTGCATCGCCGTTGGCTGTAGCGAGGCATCGGAGCGCATGCAGTTAGCAAACGCTCGCCTAGAGCTCACGTGGCGACTCGAGTCTTGAGACGATGCGCTTCTTCCGAAACACCAAGCGGCGGATGCGCGGCCTCAACGCTAAGCTGCCTCCTCCTCCACCTTCTCTGCAGAGCTCTGCCGAGTCAAAGGAGACGACGATAACGTATACTGGAGGTGCGTTGTGCGTGACGCTGCAGCGTGCCAACTCGAAATATGTAGAAGACGAAGGGCCAACGCGGCTCGTTTGGTCCAAGGATCAGCGACTAGGACTCACGTTCATCGAGTTGCCCCAAGGTGGCGTGGCTGTCAAGGACATGCCCAGCATGCGCTGCGACGTGTCACCGGGACAGGAGCTCATCAGAGTGAACAAGATGTCCGTTGTAGGGAAGAGCTTCCAGGAAGTGATGGAGCTGTTGCAAAATGTTCAGTCTCCCTGCGTGCTCGACTTTTCTCCACCTCCGTCACCAATCGTAGCGTCTGAAGTGCTCGGGCCAGCAAGATTGCTTGGTGTGCGTAAGGGTATGGTGCTAAGGTCCGTGGACGGCTCAAGTATGATCGGGGCTACACTTGTTGACGTCAGCTCTGCTCTTCATGGTGCCAGCAACTCCTCTCCAGTGCGACTAACGTTCACACCTTACGACAATGTTGTTCACAGTCGCAATCAACCCTCCAGTCCTACAGATGCACCACGAAATGCCCGTGCAGGTTTTCGGAATACGCTCGGCATTGGTGCTGTACTCGCAGCAATAGCTTTCTGAGATTATCCCAAACAAACTATGAGCGATGACGTGGGAATCGTCGCTGTATCAGTTCTGTAAGGCACTATTAATAAGTATTAGTATTACTGAATTACGGTAGTTACTTCCTTCCCGAAGTTTTCGCACTTAAGTAGGCAAATATTATAAGAACGGATAAATGGGTACTTAAGAATTATTGTGCAGCACAATTAACCCATTTCTACATCATTTAGCCCTATATCAAAATTTGGGTACCTTAACTTGGGGAAATGTTAGCCCTGGGCGTCTTCTTCAAAACTTATTCATCGGAGTCTCAGCCACCAGCGGTAAAGGGACAGAGGTCAGAGCCGAACGTTAGCGAAGTTTCTTTTGTAGTGTCCCAATGTGCCTGGCCGATGAGGTTGCACGGGGATAGCCATACCAGCATTAACACTGGAAGGTGCTCCAAAAGAAAGCTTTGTTAAAAATGAGTGGCTTGCTTCGCAGCGGGGTAGCCAGACCCATCCGAAAAACCGGCGGCGATGGACAGGTTTGTGTTCATTCGCGAGAGTAGCGCGTACGCGCCGCGTTTGTACCACTGTATGAGCTTTTCCAGTCGACTTGTGGCTTGTTGAGAAGATTAAAGAATGAGAACCGCAGCGAAATCACGCCACAAAATTTTCGACGGACCTCGTTCTGGCCCAACACTACAGAACAAGCATTCATGCAATCAGTAGTATCGTAGGATACTGGGACAGTACTTCTGGCCTCGTGGCTCTAACGGTACATGTCGGATGGAACGACATCGGTGAATGAGCGGTTAACCCCCTATTCTCTGGGAATCCTAAGAACGTCTAAGGGGTTATTGCACAAGGGGTGAAACGCGGTATCACGCTGAAGTAACATTTTCCCATGAGTTAGGCTCGTACAAGCCGATCATTACTCCGTCTGGAGAACGAAGCGCTGCCACCTGCAGAAGCAACAACCGACGTGAATATCATGCATCCAACGTTATTTATTATCTTGGTCGTTTCAAGACCGACAACTCACCTTCCCGTGTGCCGGGTACTTGATCGGGCCGTCCATTATCGCGCCCAGCATTAGCAACCGCGGTACCGCATCGCTTAGGTCCGGAATGTCGAAGTTCAGGAATGGCGAGTACCCGCTACTGCACGCAGCCTCGCTATCTCATATCAATGGGAACAGTGAGCTATAATGTACACAACAATCCTATCTCCAGCCACCAACCTCTGCGCCAGTTTGATGCAGAGCGGCACACCTGCTTGTGTGTCGAACTCCGCGTATGTGTCCGACGAGCGTAGCAGCTTTAGACCCAGCCCTTCTTGATAGAACTGCTTGGAGCGCGCTAAGTCGCGGCTCAGCACCATCAGCTGCCGCAACCGACTCATGTTGCCACAGTCAATAATGCAGTGTAGATTATTGGCCAATCCCCGGTGGATAAAAATAGCTTCAATGCATTTGTCTCGTCACTTTAAAAATCATCCCAAAATGCTCGGAACAGGAGTGAAGGTGGCGGTGCTTGCAGCAGCTGTAGCGTGCTACGTACATCCGCAGCTGCTTCTGCAGCCTTTGCTCGGGTCAGATCTGGATGGCGCAGATGCTGAGGCGTCAGTGCGTGTGCTGCGGGGTCTGCTGACGCTGCTGAGCTATGGATTGGCCATCATCCGACCTTCTTGGTTCTGGGTGCTCGTGGTTGTAGCGGCGCTTCAGCTCACTCTGTGGGGGCTGCAGTTGGCTGAAGATTCCTTGCTTGGGCTGAGCTTAGAGGCGGAGAAGAATGTGTTCATGGTGGGCGCTGTGGTCTGCTTCGGGACCATCGTGAGCATCATTCTGTTTGGAGGCAAAAGTGATACGAAAGCTCGTTTCCGGTGAGTAGCTTAGAGACTCGTTGGTATATTTTTAAAGCTAATTTGATGATTGTGTTTGCAGAAAGCGACTGATTGCGTTTTACACGAAGCACAACCCGGAGAAGCTGCCCGACGTGGACGATTTGGTGGAGAAGTACGAGCTCAATGAGGAGTTATTGTTCCAGCGACTGCACCGGAAATACAATGCGCTAGCTGCAGGAGCAGACAATCACTCGGTTATGAAGAATATTGACGAGGGTGAGTTCCTGTATGAAGAGGAAGAAGAGGAAAGACTGGAGTCGGACGAGGAGACTGAAGCTTTATTGGAGCGAGAAAAGGAGGCTGCTCGAATCCCAACGTATGAAGAAGAAGAGAAACCAGAACGTTTATTTACCGCACAGAAGAGTTCAGGCAGCAGTGGGAGTGATGAAAGCTATGAGGTGATTGAGAAGAAGACGGTACCTGCATCTGTACCGAAGATTCGCCCGATGATGATTGAAAACTATGACGAGCTGGATGGAACACCTCCCGTATCGCCTCGCACGGCTGAAAACTTAGCGCACACTCATCGCCAGTCGTCCACTCTGATCAAGGATGCAATTTCACAGGCGCGTCGTGCCCAGCAGGAACGTATTGAGCGTCGCATTGCCAATATCGCAGCGAGAAGCGGCGATGGCTATGCCGGCCACTAATTAACGTGCGAAAGGCAGCAAACAATTTCGAACGACTACTAGTAGTGATTAACAGATCAGCAGAGGTTCATTTTTGATAAGATGGTAAGTAAAACACCACACACAGCAAGAAACACAAATACACCCGAGTATTTTATCATACGGGGAAGCAACTTATCCCTCCCTAGTTGTCCTTGACCATCGAGTTCATCGAAGGACGCACCTCATTAAGTGAAGGACGCAAGCCGACGTAGCTGTCGTCGCCGGCGCTGTGGATACTGGGCAAGTGATACTGCAACAACTCGGCCCAGCCATTGCGACTAGCAGCGTGTTGCTGGCCGTACACGAAGTACGAGAGAACACCAGCCAGCACCCAGGCAACACCGAGGATAAGACCCAAATTAGGGATCTGTGCAACCAGATAGAAGTCGGCGAGGATGCAGGTCATCGGGATGAATGGCACAAGCGGAGCCGAAAAGTAAAGCGAGTCATTGGCTGACTGGGGGCACTTAATGGCCAGTACGATAGTGATGGCCACAGTCGCGACGAGACAAATGATAGCGATAACCAGGCAAACTGTCGAGTCGTGCGTGGCGTACCCTTGTTGATAGAAGAAAGCCGTCATCAGTGCCAAGGCCACTGCAGAGCCAATGTACTTTGGGGCTGTGTCTGGAGACTGCTCCGACATGCGGATCATCATAAGAGAAGAGTTGGACATGACGAACGAGATCAAGATACCGAAGTTGACAATATCCCACAACGTCACGAACGGCACGATGAACGCCACCAGGGTGAAGAAGATACCCGTGATAAGAGTGTTCACGAACAGGTTGCTCTTGGCGTCCACCTTGGCGAAGATCTGGGGCATCAAACCGTTACAAGCAAGTGCGTAGTTTAGACGCGGTTGAGCCAGGAAGGCAGGTGGTGCCTGCATGACTGCACTTTCAATAACCTTTAGTCGCCGCGTCACATTCGGGATGGGAGTTCGTGACGAACTTTGTCTTCGTCGACGATACATGCATTTTGTAGCAAGACGTATTGGCTATTAGCGGAATCCGTTTAGTGCGACTATAAATACAATCCCATCTACCCTTACAAAACGTAGCATTACGGTCCCATCTCCAATGAAATCCGGCTCAATGTGGACGAAAAGAGAAGGAAAAAATGACAAGACATGCACATTTTTTTTTACAATTACCGGTAAGCTTACATGTTTATTTTATTGGAAGTGAGTATTTTGCCAGACTGGGAGCATCCCACTCGTAGCAAATCTTGTGTTATCTTCGGATTTGCTAGGATTTGCTGATATCTTCCATATCCGAACTCGGTACAGCGTATACTCTGCGTATACCCCTCCCACACAAAAAATCCTCCCCCTCCAGCAAACGCGTGGCTCCAAACGCACGAAAATGGCACCACGGCCACGCAGCGCACAGAAGCGCCCCCTGGCACTGGAGGGTATCGACAGCGACAGCGCCAGCAACGACTCCGACGGCTCAGTGAGTGACTGGCAGCCAGTGTCGAGCCCGACTTCTGCTGAGGCGGAAACGGTCACCAGTAGCGCAACTGAAAAACCGGGTCAGATTTCTATCCTCGCCTCGCCACCACAAGAGACACAATTTCAGTCGTGGAAGGACTTCGAGGCCTATCTAGCGCTGTACCAAGCGCAGTCACTCCAGGTACATTATTAAGTTATCTGTTGCGTTTGTCTATACCGTCTCATCACGTTTTGTTTGTCTGCTAGATATTTCGAGTGAGAACAAACACTTCAGTGGCTGTACGGAATGCTAGGATAGATGCTCAGGGCTCCGCGGCGACTAAAATCCCGGCCGAGTGGGATCAGTACGCGAAGACGTACGTGTGTACACACCACGGCACATACCGATCGCAAGCCACAAGCAAGCGGCCGCGTCAGGAGACACGGGCCCAAGGATGCTCAGCACAGGTATGCGATTACTATGGTTTTGGTTTGTAGCGAAATAAACCCAATCTGGCATAATCGGGCTCAGTTGGGATGAATCGTGCATCACCGGTGTAAGCTCAGCCACTAACCGTGTCTGTTTGCATTAACTTTGTTACTATTATTTCAGCTGAATGTATGCGTTCAAGAGATTAACAAAGCTGAACACACGTTTGTGCTCAAAGTGACGAAGTGCCGGCTCGAGCACAATCACTCACTGAACGAGTATGCATTCAAGAGTCATCCTTCCAACCGGATTGCTCTCGATGACAGTGCCTTACGGACGTTGAATGAGCTTCGAAAGGCTGGAGCAAAGAAGACCAGTATTCTGAAGTTTATCAGAGACAATTCAGATAGTAATCCAAAGCCACAGGATGTTCACAACCTCGTGAGCAAGCTGAAAGCTCGTGAAAACAGAAACGGCCCAAGTTCGAGCGCAAAACGATTGAAGAAGTGGATGGCCGAGTTTGGAGATAATGTCGGGAATGTGGGTCGTATATTTGTGGTGTAGCGGGATCAGCAAAATCTGCGAGATTGCCAGATCCAACTTACCAACTGCGCCCAGACACCGACTAACGGAGGGGGTCCCCCGATGATCCGTGTTCTGCTGAACTTTCCTCACCTTGTGTACCCGTCGGTAGGGCGGGATCTGCTCTCTCGGTAACTTCCGAAGAGTTCAAG